ATATATATATATATATATATATATATATATATATATATATATATATATATATATATATATTGTAAGGTCTTATCTTAGAAGCTTTTTCGTCACACATAATGTATCACTCTAGGACAGAGGTGATGTAGGATATTATTTGATTGTGAAGCAGCATCCACGTCAAACAACGATGTTTGACGATATGAATTAACATAATCCAAATCAACTAACCTTTACTGCGGTGGAAGAAGAGATCAACCGACTTCTATCATCAATATGAACGACATGACAGATATAAAGATACGCCTTTATTATTGGTGTCGAATGATTACCTATGTTATGGCATACACAGATTGGTAGACCGAATGGCCCATTCTTGCTCCCCATGAAAACCTATCATTTTGCAGCGGGAGAAAGTGCTCATCGAGGTTAAAATTATGGGCTTGGCAGAGTAGCTTTTGTACTGTATGTCATCTAATCTATTTTCCACATGACCAATTCAGAGATCTGAAGCTTCTACAAGACTAGTGTTGGAGTCATATACCTAATAAGGGTTTGAATTTGGCCGATACGAGAAAAAGATAAGTCTTTCTATAAGAAAGAACTCTCGCTTTGCTTCTGATAGTATATAATTCAGAAAAGTTTATTGAAGAATATTTCATGGCGATATTTGGCATTGAATTAGCATATGAGCTTATTGATTTTGATATGGTTTGATTGATATAGGAACCATATGTTAGTTGTGTGATCGACATAAAATATCCAACATATTTAAGTAAATACTATCATAATTATTTTTATGATTAATATCTAAAATATTGACGTACCAAACCTACTTACTAAATATTAAAGATACATTTATTTAACATATTTAAATATAAAATATTGATTTGATAATTATATACTTATTTGATATTCAAGCTATTCCAAATCAGTTGTATCAATCACATCATCACGAGGTGCAAAAAAAATTAAAAAATATATTTTTTTATTTTACAAAGTTCGCTTTACTACTCTATGAGTTGAAAGTATAATTCATGATTCGTAAATATTTTTTTGAACTTTCACACCAAACGTTTCAATAATCTGTGTGGGCATACTCCAGTTTGACACATTATATGTGTTGCGAGGAACAACTGTATGCCGTGGCCTTGGGGTCGACGCGGCTTGGTTCGGGTCCGAATATGCGGGGATCTGGCACGGTGCTCCTTGGGACAGCTGGGGTGGCCGATCGAAGCTGTCCAGATGGGATGTAGCGCGGGGGGGTGAAGCCTTGGCG